AGCATAGAGAGGAGATACACAAACATAGCATTGGAGTTAAAATGAAAACAAAAATAGTGCTACTGATGACGATGGCGAATTGGATGCTTTGATCTACAAATATGGCCTCTACGATATTTATATATTGAATTATGATCCATACCAGAAGGAGGCATAGATGTTGACTTCTTAGGCATTTAAAAATGTCATTTTTCAAAGCAATAGATTAAATAAATAAACTTCATTTATCTGGATTCCAATACCCCATATCAATTGTCAAATATACTTTTAAATTATTGAACCCGATAAAAGTACCAAATATAATTTATGCCATATATTGGAATGATACTAGATATTACTAGAGGGAGCTAATAGATTGAATAAAATTATAACTTTTTGGCATATAATGTTGAACATAAAAGTGAGCCAAATATTTCAAGAGAATGCCAGCCCGTTTAAACTTATTCTTCAAAATATTCTTGATACATGTGCATGGCCATCAATGAATTCCAATATGAGAATTACTAGAACATCACTATTGACTCGCGTACTTTCTACTTTTGCTCAAATAGAAAATTGTTGGCCACTTAACTTGATTTAATAATGAAGGAATAAATAGGCTTTCAAAAGATCTAAATTACCAAAAGAACAAACAATATCACCTATATTTTTGGCTATCCCATGAAATATATTTTTACAAGTGTGACAAAGAATTGTTACTTCATTTCATATTTTTGGCAAACTGACGAAACTAATACAAAAGGAATTTCAAAAAGTTGAAGACATCAAAGTGGTTGTCGAAGACATTGCTTTTTGGACAAAAAAAATAGAAGTCATTGAGCTGTGCTAACAAAATCTAGGATTGAAAATTTGAATTAAAAGACAATAGAGCATATGTGCCACCTAAAAATCATAGGAATATTACTTTATGTAGAACAAACTTGTTCTCACTTCAGACCCCAGAAAATTGGTTGTTTAATCTGTACCATTCTATGAGCATCAATGGAGTGAAGGACGCCAGGATTTTTTTATATGCATGAGAAAGCAAAAGTCAACAACAATGCTGTAGTGTCAAGTCTCAACTCCTAATTCTTAACTGCAAGCAAATGGTAAAATGTTCATGATAAATTTACCAATCTAACCCAACTTAAAGTAGGATGCCATGAAGAGCAAGCAATCATGTACTAAAAGAAGCATCACATAGAAAAGTTTATCTACTGCACGGATGTTTGCATTTTCCAATAGATTTTCGAAGGATCTAAGTATGAGATTAGACAACCACAAATGGGCAATACGTATGATGTTTGTTTGTAGAAAGTATTCAAAAAAGGTTGCCTTCAAGAAAAAAAAGGAAAGAATTCTTGAGTGCACGATATTGGGGAACAATAGTTCCAGATATACTGACACCATCTGTAGACAAAAATCAACTTTAAATTCAGATGTACGACTCAAATGTGAAAATTATATCACTAAGTTACAACAAAAAAAACAACAACATCAAAACTACTATGAATTTAGTCTTCGTAAAGAATCTCATGCTCTAGTAGCATTCATGCACTTTTCATCATCATGAAGGCTCTACAAAAAAACTTTTCATTAACAATTCAATCTTAAAATTTTTAACAAAGATATAAAGACTGCCTAACTGTTGTATCGTTGAATTGATATCAAATATCAATAATGAAAAAGTAAATAATATATGAAACATCTTCATTACAATAACAGTGAATTTATATGTGCATATAAAAATTGGCAAGAGTGCACAATCTTTGATTAATGCGATCAAGAATATCAATTAAATTTAGATGGGCAATAAAATAATTTTGTTATAAGCTTTAAATTGCATGTAAGAAGCATATCTTAAAATATAAAACTCGAAATCCCATCACAGGAAAAATTAACTTCAAGAATAAGTTGAGCAATATAAATCATAAAAGTCTAAAATAAAACTGCTCACAAAAAATATCCAGCATGATTTCTCTTTAAAAAAAAAAGAATGAAATCACTCACCCATTCCATGGCCATTTGTAATCATTAAGAAATATTATAAACGGAGAAGTGCTTGACACAAAAGAAATCGACTCTTTGACCAAAGATTTTCCAAATTTTCATAGAAAAAAAGTTGTTTTTCTAAGTAAAATAACAAAACAAATTTAAAAAACCTTTCCCAGTTACCAAATATAAAGTATCATTTGCTAAGAGACAAAAAAAAAGAGAATAAATGCAAGTGTAATGTCTCAGTGCCAGGAAAAATCAAATGAGGGTACATGGAACAGGTCTACATGCATAAATGGACACATGAGGATAAATGGAGAAAATTTTACCATAAAAACAAACGGCTATGTAAAATATAATGTATGTGAAATATAATGTCTTCATGCACATAGGTGAGTTTCACCTCTTCTTGGATTTCTATATGCCTTACAAGGTATTAAACTATTATAAATGAAGTCTTCATGCACATAGGTGAGTTTCACCTCTTCTTGAATTTCTATACAAGGTATTAAACTATTATAAATGAAGAACTTCATCAGCCCACTCAAATAAATTGTTTCCACAAAGGTACTTATGGTAGATTAAAATTCCTGCAACAGTGAACTATACTGCACAACATCGTACCAATTAGCACAGCTTTTCATATCAAGACCAGAAAATCATATAACATTAGCTGAGAAAAAGAAAACTATACAAAACTTTAAATTTGAATTAGAAAGGGAAATCACACCAAGGTTCTGAAGGTTTGATTGATGTTTGTTATCAAAACCACAAAAACTCATTGTCATCTCATTGCAATAGGCTTTTCCATTTGATGTTATACCATATCTGTCTCAGCTACAATAATCTTTAGCAGCACATCATTATACGAAACAACCAAAATGCCCTCCTCACTCTGCGCTCTTTCCTTATTACCCCTCTCTTCAGCATTTTTTCTCTCCAACTGCTACCCTAACACTGCCAACGGGTTCTTAAGTGAAAGTGAGGCAAACCATGGAAACATGCTCTATATGGCGTGAGGAAGAAGAAGCAGAGGCTTAGTTGAACATTTACTATAAAAATCCACATGATAATACAAAACATAAGAATAAATCGAAAGATTAGCAAATTTTTACTAGCACACATAAAGCCATATAAATCTGAGCAGTGTGTGAAATAGAAACATTATTCCATAAATCGTTAAAACTCATAAGCATGATGTCATGAGCTACAGAAGATACCAAATTAATGAACACATGAAAACAAGAGTATTGGAAACCATGATCATTATAAAATCTTTCAATGCAACAAAAGATAAGTTGAATTTCCAGCTTTTAGTAATTACTTTCTTAATAAATAAATTAAAAATCACAACTTGTACCAAGAAAATCAAGAACGGAAGCTCAGCTCAAGGAGCATAATTCAGTCTATAAACAAAGATTGCAGTCAATCGTGGCCTAAGTATTTTCATTTTGAAAAAATAAAAAATAAAAACATATACAACACCTAAAATTTGTGTTCGCTATTTTAAAAATATATTGATTTATTTTAAACAATAAATAATAAAAACACCTAAAGCCACAAATCAAATATATTGTCTAAAAAAATAATAAATAGTTCTAAACAAGTTATGGAAAGTCTTAACAAATATTGATATTTATATACTACTTTTTTGTTTAAAAAACAATTTCAAAATCTAGCAAAAATAATAATTTACCATATTTTATAATGAGGAATTTAACTTTATAAGCCCCATAATAGCAAAAATTAGAGAGATATGACTGTCATTTGTTTACTAGGGTAAATATGCCAAAAAATTTGTTTTGGATGAAGTTATCCCTCTTATATTTATAAAAGTGGTTCAACCAGGTTTGTTCAATAGGTCCACATAGCTTAATGTAGATGCCATCATAGAAATCCGATGTAAGATTTCGTGATAATAGCTTGTTGTGGGCTTACCTACAAAACCAGCAGCACTGAGCACAAGAAGATTTTATGATGGGAACTCATTGGATGCTCTTTGAGGCAACTAGCAACATGCGAGGAAAACACAATTTTGTGATGGGAGCTTGCCAAGAGTTCATTGATGGGACAAGTGAAATGTCATAAGAGGTTCCATAACTGACGCTCACTGCGAAGGCAATATCAGAACCAACAATATGTGAGGAGAAGAAAAGGATATAGTGGACAACATCTCAGGACCAACTGAAAGCAATGTGCTAACTGGGAAATGAATCACAGAATAAGACGTGTGAAGGAAACTCCATAACAGGTTCAAATTTTATTCCAAAATGCACCACCATAGTTCGAACCTTGTTTCAACCTACTTCAAATTTGAAATAGTTCTAACCAAATTTATTCACCATAAACTTCAGAAAGAAGTCCATATAGGTAATTTGATCCAAAATAAGTTTTCATGCATATTTCCCAATAGAATAAATATCAGGAATTTTTTTTAAATGTTCACTATTATGAAACATATAAAGTCTAGTTTCCCTTTTAATATCATGAAAACTGAAACTGAACTTATCAGGTTTCTTAAGACACCAACAATACTGACAATACTGCAATCGTAATACTATTACTTATATAAAATTTAGAAATAATGTCATATTAATATTTAATAAACAAGCATCAATTAATATGAGAATTTGGTAGAAGTTCTAATAGCACTGCAAGGGTTTTTTTTCAACTAACCGGCAAATAAATAATGTCATATTAATATTTAATAAACAAGCATCGATTAGTATGAGAATTTGATAGAAGCTCTAATAGCACTGCAAGGGTATTTTTCAACTAACCGGCAAATGAGCAAATGAGGATCAATTGTCTATAATTTGTTGCCATGTTTCAAAATGTTAAAACTACACCACACGTCTTCGTTGGGTCACTGTCATGCTAAAAAATAAAGTATATCTAAGCCTTCATAACTAAAATCTTTTCAGGGCTTTTATTAAGCGGCGTCAATCATACAATTTAGCAGAAAAAGCTTCATGTCAAGAAAAAAAAATGTAAAAAGTTAGAAAAACAGCAAAGGAGAGCCGCACCAGAGCAACAAAGGAAGGCAGATCATTAATCGTCCCGCGCAAAGAACCCACCACTCTATCAGATTCTAATGCCTTTGCAGCAAAGCCAACTCTAACTCCACCTTCCACTTGCTCGCCACCAGTCGAATCGACAGCATTCCCAGCGGCCATCACCCTGAATCCACACACTTTCCTGAAACTCCTTCTCAGTCGACATTTACCGAACCGAAGCACTTCCAAATTTGACGCATCACCAACCTTTAACCCCCGGCCCCCATTCTGCAAGAACTTCGGCATAAATATCAAACAATAACAATGATAAGATTCATCCGAGAACAAATCGAGGAAGAAGAACAAGAGCAGAAAATTACACCGAATATTAGCGACAGAGCGGGAAGCAGAGCAAGGGCATTGAAGTTCGATGACATAGTAACCAGTCATCAAATCTCAGCACGATATTGGTAAGAAATAAGGTGAGGGGATTGCATCTTGATAAGCTTTATGACAAATGAGCAATTATTTTAGTATGGGGGTATACTCTTATGCAAATTGACAACATCTTTATCATATATATCATTCATTATATAATTTATATTTTATTTTAATGCATTTAAAGTTTTTGAACTATTTTTTTATTATTATATAATATAATTAAAGCATGATGTATTCATAAGAATACTCATTACTAAGAGAGAAATATTTTTTTTGAATAATTTAATTATATTTACTTAATAAATTAGTTCTATTTTATAAGGATTTAGTGGATGAGGTACAAGTTTAGTGGTTTATTCTCGGTTCAATTTTAATGACTTATTTTTATTATCCACTAAGTTATTCATAGTGAAAATAATATACGACATGTGATATCAAAAATAGGTATCAGGAAAAAAAGTCTCAACCTGATATAAAATATAATTGAATATCTTATTATTTTAAAGACATAAATAAGGAAAATATGTAAATTTTTAAAATTTCACTTTAAAATTAAATAATGTAAGAAAATTTTATAGTGACAATGAATGTCACATTAAATATTTTTTTCTTATGAATCTAAAATCTACCAAAGACAAATTCAAAATGCAGTGCTTGCATGCATTTGTCGATACTACATTGCTTGAGCAAATCTATACATGGCTTAGAGTCCTTATCCAAGATGAGTTGCCTAGCCAAGATCTCACAATATAATAACCTAGATCAAACTCACTAACTTGCCAAACCAAAAATGACCATGAACATGTCAATTTGCTTAGCAAACTCTTCGAAAGACAACCTAGCCTGAGGACTCACTAATGTTCTAGCATAGCACAACAATAATGGCCTTATACTATTCTCTTATACCAATAACATAACCATCTACATATAAGAAAGTAAAACCATTAGGGCCAAGTACTTATTGAGTAATGCAATATTGACAACCAAATTTATTATCAAAAAAAAAAAAATTGTAAATAAAATTAGTGCCAAAGCCACCTCATTGTTAAAAATCGTCTCATATCCTTACACAAGATAAGACTATTGTTAATTTAGTTGATAACTTTCTTAGATGTGCAAGAATATTATAATCGACTTTATCAAGATTTATTGTAGGATGATCATGTGAAGGATCATCCTAATAGAATATTAGTTTTCTTACACCAACAACTTATTTTTTTTATCTGGGTGTCATATGAGGAGATAAAAATCAACCACTAAGATGTTTTACTTCAATGATTTCATAAAATAAGGTGTTTGTGGGAACATCTACTTATTCTTAGATCATATCAAAGTATCTCTTATTGAACTGTCTAAATTCAACAAATCAATCTCAAAAGTTATGTGTTACTTGAAATTTTAAATAGGGTCATCATTATTAGAAGTTGAGTAATATGATTCATCAAATTTATTGGAATCACTAGCATTTTTTATAAGGACCAACTTTTTTAAATTATCATTATTAAAGTTATGAAAGATATTCTTATCTAATATAGACAAGACATATACATAAATTTATTGGAATCACTAGCATTTTTTATAAGGACCAGCTTTTTTAAATGATCATTATTAAAGTTATGCAAGATATTCTTATCTAATATAGACAAGGCATATACATAATTTTTTTATTAATCCATTGGATTTTGAGGTGATAAAATAAAAGTCATATAGAGTGAGAAGAAGGATGGGTTTAACTCTATTAATTGTAAATATTACATTACAAACATCATTATTTTTAGAAACTAGTGGAATCATATGATCTTGAGTTTTCATTGGCTTGGAATTCCTTTTATTCATTTTTTTTCTCTAGTTGCCCTTCAAAACCGTGGATCAACCGATATAATTTTCCTTTGAGCTTCATTAAATTCTTATAGAGAATATTTTAGGTTTTATAATAATAAGATGAGAGATTTTGGATAATAAAATTTTCAAGCTTTCTTTAAGTTTAAATGGACTAAAATATAGAAGCCTCGCCTGAGATAACCATCATGGGCCCCTAGCAAAGATCAACAAGGTATTCCTTCAAGTTGACAACTTCTCTAAACATATGATTTTTCCTATGCTCATCATTAAAAGTAATATAATCTTTAATTGCATCCTCAAGTTAATGGGGATATGGGCAATAGTTTAAATCAATGCTCTTTCCCATCACCTCTTGCTTATCGGGCTATAGTAACTAGAAGACTACCTTTTCATTAAGTTCGTAAAGATCATCTTAAATGTAACCCTTTTAAGGAACAAGTTTGATTCATTCAAAGGGGTTAGAAATTCCTTCATTATTGTTAGCTTAGATGGATGCTATTATGAAGATTATAGTGGAAACTTGTTAGCCTAAATTTGTTCCAGTTATTTTGCTTTATCAATAACATACATTATTCTGGATTTCTTTCTCATGATTTACGTTTTCTACAATTTATAATAAGTTAATTAATTTTTCATAAGTGTTAATTAAGAGACTACTTCTTCTTGCTTTGCAATAGTCTTCAAGAAACCATGTTAAGGGAGAAAGCCACTAGGTCATGAATGTCCATCAAATTGATCTCAATTATGTGCTCCTCCTACAATTGAAGTTTACACTGTATGTTTTTATTTCAGCATCTTAAAATGTAATTAACTAGTGACTCATTCAATATTTTCTTATTAATTATCAAATTTCCTATTATAACTTGATACTTGATTCCAAAGTATGCATTAAGCTGCAAGAAAACTTAATGTACCGTTCCAATGCTAAACCAGATAAATTGCTTACAACTTTTCCAAATAACATAGTAACATTACTGTTTATGTTAACAACTTGCTTTAAATTGAGTTTGATGCTACCTTAAGTTACTTATTCCATAAAGTACATTGATGATGGAGGCATTAATTTCTCAAAATATTGTACTACACCAAACTCTTTTGAGTAGGCTTGGTTTTTGGAATGGCTAAAGTCCCTTGAGAATGCTTCTTTGACTTGTTGCTCTAAAAGCTTCTTAAAATCCATTTTTAATATTATTAATGGCTTAAGGGCTCTTCCAATGCTTGCTATGAATATCTTTTTTCAACTTCCACAACCTTCTTTTTTTTTTTACAGATGAGCAAGTTTGAGCATATCTGTGTCTTCGGGTGCTTAATGTGACATACAAAAAAATTAATCTTTATTTCCGTTCAACTTTTTTATTTGTATTTTTCTTGAGCTAGTTAAACATGCTTTGAGTTGAATTTGGTGTTGTACCATTCTCAGCTACAATGCTATTGAAGCTAGACCTGGGATGTTGTAGCTCCTTTTGAGAAGATCTTCTTGTATCCACTATGAAAACCTTAACAAAAAATGTATTATCCTAAGTGAGATCAAAATATACAAAATTCGATGGGACATTTGCTAACTTCTTCAATTTCTCCTTTTGTTTAATGTGAAATTAAATAAAATAATAATCAAGTATATTATTTTTGTTAAATTTAGGGCTTTCTTCTTACATCTTCCCATTCAATAGGCACCATTACTTACTAATTTTTAAGGATCTCTTTATCATGGCTTCTTATTTTTGAGGAAAATCACCTACAGAGCTCTAGAATATTCAAATCATAGCCACCATCTTCAATTCTCATTACTTCTGCTCAGTTGATTATAGGGAAGGTTAAGTTGAAGAGTGTTGAGAGAGAAAACTACCTAAAAATTTACCTAAATACTTACCTTATTTAAATGTTTTTCTATTTATATACATATATATATATATATATAATTTATTTTTATTTATTTATTATTTAAAAAAAATGGTTGGAGGTTATTACACGAGCCCTCAGCCACCCTCATGTGTATATCTATTCGAGGACCTGCCTTACTGCCAGCAAACTGGCCAGAGAGGGATTTGAACCCGTGATCTGAAGGGACTTAAAACCTTCAAAGAGATTTCTCTACCAACAGGCCACGGCTGGCGGCACGCACGCACACACACACACACACAC